AAAACCCCCCCCCCCCCCAAAAAAAAAGTGCAATATTATTGGAACATAATTTATTGACCTAATTTGTTATGACCTTTAAATTGACTGTGAACTCCATCAACCATTAAAATTTGGTATTAATCCAATAATTTTAATGAAGCCACGCCATCATGTCAGCAAATTATGTGAAATTTTTAAATTTAAATAACATTTTTCAAAAAAAAAGAAGGAAGCTTCTTATATCATACGAAAAAGTCTTTGGCATCGTCATCGGCCTCGACACTACAGTTGAGCTCACAAATGCCTTTGCTCGCGTTTTGTAGAGGTGCAACTCGGGCAGGTTAGACGGGGGTTAACCCTAGCCCAACCTATAATTCTCAACTCTAATCCTAACCCTAACTTGACCTCAACTCAAGGTACTTAACTCTAGTATTGTCAAAGTTTAATTCGTGCGGGTTCAGGTTGAATTCAGGTTACATCATTCAGACCAATTTTGGGTTAAAATTTAGATTGGATTCGGGTTACGTAATTCAGGTTAGAATTTGAGTTGAGTTTATTTAAGTCTGAAATCAGCTTATTGTTCTAAACCTAGTACATACTATATAGTATTCACCTAAAGTAACGATCAATAGCTTCAATCAAATGTATATCATAAAGACTACAATATTTAAAGCATAAAAATAAATGTTTAACATAAAGACATAATAGCCAAATAATTAACATAAGACTGAACCAAGATTGATACAAAAATGAAGTCCGCATCGTTTTCCTTATATACCATAACGTATCGTACATACTAATAGCAATGATGTTATGATCCAATAGGTTGGGTCAACTTCCCATCTAAACCAGATAGGACTACCCAAGAATGTATATGTTTCAATTGTTGAAGCAGAAATTTGGGTTATTGTTTAAGCAGAAATGCTTTTTGTTATTTTCCACTGTGATCAGCTTTTCACAAAAGGAATTCATTCTACTTGAAACTTTCTGTCTTAATATGTATGTATTGCCTTGTAATGTTATAGAGAAAGGTAATTCTTTATGCACTAAATCAGCTGCTGCAACTGTTGGATCAGCGATGGAATCCAACGACTGTAAATAATTTGGTATAAGTTTTGGTACATATAAAATTACTCAATAGAGAAACCAAACATGTTAGTCTTTTGTTTTGAGCTACAATTTTATGCATTTATATCTCAGCCAATTGACCATTTGGTTTCTGCCTCTGAATAACGAGCCACCAAACTATTTCACCAACTTGGTCAAATAAACAGAGGGCGAATTATACTTTGTACCTCAAAAAATTTAAATTTTTTATTTTAAACTCTTAAAGATTAAATTTCTCATATTACACCCTTAATATATCAAAACTATTACAATTTGATATTTTTGTTAGTTTTCCGTTAGTTTTTCTTATCAATGTGACAGAAAAAAATAACAGAAGCTAACAGAAGGGTCACGTTACAATATTCTTGATATATTAAAGGTATAATGTGGGTAATTTAATCTTTGAGAATTCAAAGTAAGAATCTTAACATCTTTAAAACTGCAAAATTCGAAAAACCCATAAATAAAACTAAAAATAAGTAGAGATAAGAAAAATAAATCCCAAGTTAAAGTAATGATTTAAATATCACTTTCAAGAGAGACCAAGCAAATGACAGGCACCGGAAGTGATTTCTCCGGTGCTGAAAACATGAGCCAAAAAGATCAAACAAAATTCAATTCAATGGAATCGAATTACGAAAACTTTAGATTGATCTAAACTTGTCAAAATTGATCCAAAATTTTTTTGGGGACCTAATTGGATCTTACATTAAACCTCATTAATTCATAAATCTGATCTCTTTAATCATAATTTGTCTCCTATTTTTTCATTATAATACCGACTTGATACGATAAATTTATTCTCTTCTAATTAAAGAGACATATTACAGAATTTTTAGCGATGGTTCAGTGGCTGAGTCTATTTTATAGTAATTCAAAGGGTTTAAGTTCAATACTTTTCAGACCTCTTAAGGTCCGATCATCCTACTTTCTCAAAAAATATAATCTAAATTTGTTCGAATTACGATGATGAATATCTGAATTCTAGGAAACAATCACTTGCACATATTGCACCACTTGCATCCAATCTAATATAGTGATTAAGAATTCATATTGAACAATGTTCAATAGCCCAATGTTTTTTTTTTTTCTTGTTATTAAGTGCATGTGTCTTATCTATCACTTCTCTTCCAAGTAATGAGCCAATTATGGTGGAGGAGTTCAGTTCTTTGTGCCCTGTGGGATTGACACCCTATTTTTCATCATTAACTTTGTTGTTTTCCGAAGTGATGTTTTGTCCAAACATTTCTTCACCACAGAGTATCCTGCTGCATCATATATCTCGAATAGAGTTATGCGGAGCAAGCAACAACAAGGGGAGTTGATTTCGGAAAATTTTATTAGGATTTAATTTGTTAATTTAATTTATTAATTTAATACATTATAATTATTAAATTAGTGACGGGTTTTCAGTAATAATAGAGCTTACATTGCCAGTCCAATGACAAAAAATATTATGTTAACAAATAAAATTAATAAATTATATTCAAATAATATTACTCGTTAATTTATGATCCCAATCATGAGCCATCAGGGTGTCTGTGCACGGAGGGAATTATGACATTTCCCAGGGGTTGTCTGGTAAGTGAAATTGGAGGGTTTTGAAAAATGGGTGGGAGAAAAATGGTCCACATGACACACAAAAATCATGTTTGACGAAAAATTTGAAGCCTAAGTTACCGAGCTCAACCCGCTATTGGCCCAGACCTTAAGTCTCAGATCATGAGTTTCATCAACCCTCAGCAAAGGGGGGAGGGGGGGTTTTAGATGAGGGTTATAGGATACAAAAAGATAAATATACCCCACACATATATAAACATGAGTTTAAATTATATTGATGAAGGAGTAAAATAGTCATTTATATACAAATGCATTATCATAATAGTGATATAGTTGTGAACATGTCAAACATGAGTATGAATTTGATTCAATGTTGAATCTTATTTTTGTAAAGAGGGATTTGGATTTTGAAAGGTTGAAAAAAATCAATTCAAACTCTTCCTAAAAATCTATCCAAACAAGCCTTAGGGATACAATTATCTTTTGTATTCTTAAACCATCTTCCCAAATCCACCTCCCCTTAGGTTNGAAGCAGAAATTTGGGTTATTGTTTAAGCAGAAATGCTTTTTGTTATTTTCCACTGTGATCAGCTTTTCACAAAAAGGAATTCATTCTACTTGAAACTTTCTGTCTTAATATGTATGTATTGCCTTGTAATGTTATAGAGAAAGGTAATTCTTTATGCACTAAATCAGCTGCTGCAACTGTTGGATCAGCGATGGAATCCAACGACTGTAAATAATTTGGTATAAGTTTTGGTACATATAAAATTACTCAATAGAGAAACCAAACATGTTAGTCTTTTGTTTTGAGCTACAATTTTATGCATTTATATCTCAGCCAATTGACCATTTGGTTTCTGCCTCTGAATAACGAGCCACCAAACTATTTCACCAACTTGGTCAAATAAACAGAGGGCGAATTATACTTTGTACCTCAAAAAATTTAAATTTTTTATTTTAAACTCTTAAAGATTAAATTTCTCATATTACACCCTTAATATATCAAAACTATTACAATTTGATATTTTTGTTAGTTTTCCGTTAGTTTTTCTTATCAATGTGACAGAAAAAAATAACAGAAGCTAACAGAAGGGTCACGTTACAATATTCTTGATATATTAAAGGTATAATGTGGGTAATTTAATCTTTGAGAATTCAAAGTAAGAATCTTAACATCTTTAAAACTGCAAAATTCGAAAAACCCATAAATAAAACTAAAAATAAGTAGAGATAAGAAAAATAAATCCCAAGTTAAAGTAATGATTTAAATATCACTTTCAAGAGAGACCAAGCAAATGACAGGCACCGGAAGTGATTTCTCCGGTGCTGAAAACATGAGCCAAAAAGATCAAACAAAATTCAATTCAATGGAATCGAATTACGAAAACTTTAGATTGATCTAAACTTGTCAAAATTGATCCAAAATTTTTTTGGGGACCTAATTGGATCTTACATTAAACC